TTAGAGCTCTGGGAGATGAGGGAATAGCCATCTTGCTCAAACTGCAGTTGGAGCCTTTCAAAGGACACTGGGTTCGCATACTTCCTTTTCTAATCACTTTTGGAAATTGCTTGTTAACTGCTCTGCAGCTATTAGGAACCTTTGGATCGACAAGTTTTATAGCACTGAGTGACAGTTTCCTTCAATTCTTAGTGAAAGAAGTTCTAATTACTTTAAAACTTTAGTTTAAAACTTTAAAACAAGTTTAAGAACTTAGACTTTTTTGGAATAAACAGCAAAAGGATGATTAAAACTTGGATTTTAGAAAGTTACAAATGATAAATTTGAAACAAGATTTTGGAATTAAATATAAATAATCCTTCCCATGGGAAAATGCTTTTGTTTTGAATTAAAAAAAAACAACAAGATAAGACTTTAAAAATTGGACAGTAGAGGGAACTAAAGATTACAATTAAAGGAGAAGAACACTCAAACTCAACTTACAATTATAGAATGAAACAAAACATTTTAACATTAGACATATTGAAGGATATTTTTGAACAATGGACCCAGAAGTTAATTATAATAGTGTCTGCCTTTATAGATAGACTGTGTCTAAAGGATGTTATGGAAGAGGAGCAAGTTTTACCTGACAACATCAAGCCTGACTTGAAAGTGGATTTAAAAATGACAAGCTACAAGAATGACATGGTAAAAGATGTTACACTGGACATACAAAAGAAACTGGCTGATGTCTAAATAATTAAAAGGGATATACAAACAACAAACCTGGATAATTTTCCTATATTGGATTTACAAAACAGAGGCTTGTTAAAGTTTTGAAGCATTTTGCGAGAAAGGACAAAGCAAAAATGAAAATAAATCAAATTCTATGATATTATTTGAAGGGACTAAATAACAAGATTCTTAGAAGTAAAAGGAAGGAATATAAAGTTGGTTTATCTGATCAAGGTTAAAATAGATATATTGTTATCTCTGGTAACCCTTAATGGACTTTTGGTGACATTAGGACTGAAATGACAGGACTTTATGGATTTGTTTATAGATAAGAGAGGGGATATGAGTAGAAGAGATCATTTGTTGTATTTTAAGAAAAGGTGATAAATTACTAAAATTGCTAGTATTTGTGATGAAGGTGGGAAGTCACTTCTTTATATATTTCTTTTTTTCTTTACTGTATTATTTTTCTTTCTTTTCTATTTCTATTTTTTCCATTTTTTCTCTTTTTTCTGCACTTTTTTATTTTTTTTTAGTTTGTATTTGTTTTTACTGTTGTAATTATAATCTTTAATAAAATTACTATATTAAAAAAAATACTATGCAACCTACAGATTTTTCTCTAAACCAACGTCCAGAATTCTTGGCAACCACCAAGAATTTATGTATGCCTTTAATGACAATATAATGTAAACAGAACTGTTTTCTGGAATGTTACTATTCATAGTTCTGTGTCATGACAAGAGATGACAAATTGCACACTATGTTTTCATATATCATACACACAACCGTAACCATGCCAACATCTTCCAGGCTATTTAAAAGAAGAAGAAACTTACCATAAATCTCTCTCTAAACGATTGTTCTTCCTTTGTCATCTTGTTATTCTTTTCTAAAATGTATTTCTTGATTTTAAAGAGGTTTCTGGGAGAAGGGCTGCTAAAAAAGACACATATACAGAATAAATCCAGCAAATGGACATATGAGAATTGGGGGGGGGGGGACAGGATTATTCAGAGTGGGGTTTGCCAAAGCTGCATCATATACCAGGTGCCATTGTTTGGAAAAATCTTCAGATGAACTTGAGGCCATGCACCTAACCTTTTTCCAGCCTAACAGCAAACTGAACAAATCAACTGTATGGCTGAAGGCACATTGCTAGTAAGAAGACAGATCTCTACTTCAAATGTTAACTTCCTGAACTGCTCAACTACAATCAATTTCTTCCATGTGTTAAGCTCTGCCCCCAAGGCAGAGGAAGCAAGGCACCGGCTGGTTCCAATTTGGATTACGGTAGATCATCCTAACTCAGACTCAACGTCCCTGAGTATTCATTTGGGCACTATGATAGAACTTCTCAAACCTCTCTCACAGATCTTCCACCTTTGTGTTGTTAAAGACATAAAATTTCAGCGTGAAATATCATGCAACAGTAAAAAGCTTCTGTTGAACAGCTTTTTGATGTTCTCTACCACTTTATATTTTGCTTCTTACATAAATAATAGAAATATAAATAATTTTTTTTTAGAAATTTCCGTGCCTTCAATAATAAATCTACTCAATATGTTCTTCGTTACCTTGCTGCATCATTGCTGTTTCTTTTTTCCTCTCTTCCTTTCAGCAAAAGAAATTTTAATGTCCAGTTTTATGACAAATATTCTCCCCTCTTGAAAAAGGAAAGGGGGAGAGAACATGGTTTCCTAATGTCAGGGATGTCACAAAATGCTGAGGTACGAGAGAGACAATGAGTACCAGCATGATCAACTAAGTTACCACACAACAGGCTTCATTTCATGCACCACTGAATCACAAAACCATTTTCAAATAGGAATCATGTAGTTACAGCACTACCCGGACCTGTAGTTCAATAGGTTGCAAGTAGAGCACCAAGCAGCTTTCACCCAGCCGGAAAGTTACAAGGGATTTTGTTTTTATGCAAGCGAAAAGCTGATGCTAGAATTAAAATGCTATTTGAATTTCACACAGCCTTTTGACTCCAGAGCATTCCATCCCCCATAAAAATGCATTTAATACTCAATTATTCTCATGCTGCTGAAGAACTAGTTCAGTTTTATTATCAATGCTGACATATATCACCTGCAGAGTCTTTACTCACTTTGCCATAATACCCACCAATAAACACAGTTACTGCACATAATTGTTTGCACTCAGTTCCATACTGTCAACTAAGAGGCCTGCTCAGAATTTTCCAGTTTAATTCAAGTTTGCTGAATAAACTAAAACTGATTCACACAACAAGCTAAGCCATAACCAGAGATACATATTTTTTTCTGGGCTGAAGGCCACATTTGTTTTGCAGTTGCGTGGTGAAGTCGGTGGAGCCATGACAGAAATTAAATTTGGTTTCATTTAGTTAGCTTTTTATAAAAAGCATAATGATTAGTTTTCATTCATGTAGGTAATCATGTTTTCTTTCTGCTCCATTAAACAACCTAGAGTTCTCACTTGAGGCGCAAATGACCAGGCTCAAATTATCCTACTTCAGACACATTATGCAAAGACCCAGCCCTTTGGAAAAGGCTCTAATGCTGGGAAAGGTGGAAGGAAAGAGAATAATAAGAGAGCCAGCAGCAAGGTGGATGGACTCAGTTGCAATGGCGATCAGTACACTATTGGGAGACTTGAAAGAACAGGTTAGGAATAAATCATCATGGAGAAAATCTATCTATGGGGTCACTAGGAGTAAAAAATGACTTGATGGCAATCTCATCTAATCCTAATCTAATCTAATCTAATCTAATCTAATCTAATCTAATCTAATCTAATCTGCTCCATTCATAGTTGCAATCTGGTAACAACCTTTAGCACACTGCATTTAAGAAGAGAGCTCCCTCTTTCATGAAGGCAGGACAATATGTATTCTTGATTACTTTGGTAATTGCTAGTCTTACCAGGGCAAGAAGTAACTCTCACACCTAGAGCAGACATATAAACTCAGAGAGAACATTGTTGTATTTGCTTCCTCAATCTTCTCTCCATCCATCTGGCTTTCAAAAGTAGTCCTCCAACAGTGCTGCACCCAATGTATTGTTTTTCCAATATCCTCCTACTACAAAACAAAACCTCATTCTTTGTTTCTGAAAATAGTTATTGTGCATCTCTTAACAAACCACAAGGGTTGGGTCCATGCCAGGCACTGATCCAAAATTGAATAACAAGCTTCATCCTGAATTAAGCATGATGTATGAACCCAGTCGAAGGACTTGATAAGAGATTTTTGTGTATAGCTGAAATATCTCAAGGTCAAACTAGGGTGGAGGAAAATACAGAATTTAGGATGAAAGACATTTTAATTCCACAGTGGGAGACAGATGGAGAGGTGATCTTCACAATCTCTGAAAACATTTATTGTGTGGTCCAATGTGATTTGGACCTGAGGTCATTAACCAAGAGCACTGAAGGCTCTGTTTCTTCTTACTGTACACACATTGCTTGTCTTATACAAGCGGTGAACAATCTGTGCCACCCAGAAAGTGTTAAAGATTTCAGCTCTTGAGGTTGCTTGGAAGCTTACACAAAGCCTTTACAGATAAAAGAATAAGAATCAAGGGAGTTCAAAAAAACACACACACATAGTAATCTCTTAACAAAGTCACCATTTGGGAACATTCAAAGAAGCAACTACTTCCTGCAACAAATCCATTACCTTTCTTTCAGGACTTGACCTATTCCTGATCTCTACCTTAAAATTATTTCCAATTTCTTCTTGTGTTTCAATGGATGGTTCAGAGGTCCCACTGCCCCTTGGTGGTGTAGTGGGAAATGTTCTAGTCTCTGCAAATTAGTACCTTTGTTAGCAGAACAGGGACATTTAGATGGATACAACCAATCTCTCTCTTATATACATGTCCTCCATAACTGAATAGCAAACCAAGACAGAAATCAAGTCAAACTGGTTATACCTTCTGTTTATAGGAGTATATTGGCTAGCCCATTGCTTCTCAACCTTGGTAGCTTTACGTTGTGTGGATTTCAACACCCAGAATTCTGCAGCCAGCATGCCAAGGTTGAGAAACACTGGGCTAGACTTACCTTCAGATCACAATTGTGGACGTAAACCAATTAAGTCAGGTAATTTTAGACTTTTATATTGTCCCCAGTTTGGAATTAATAGCCTTATTATATTGCAAAGTGAATTGGTTCACTTATAAAATACCATAAGCCAAGGCAGGTGCATTAGGGACATCCTCCACATTCTACTACATGAGATTGACCCACAGTCACCACCATAATGAAGCAGGCCTGGAGGAATGGTTATAAGAGAAAGAAATCTGTAATGTATATCTATACTACAAAGTTGCTTTGCTTTTATTTTGGCTTATCTGTCACTGGCCTTCCACAGATTTCAGTGAAGTGCAATTTGATGAGGCTACCAAGACTTCATTTTCAGGAATCCTTAGGAGATTATCCAAGGGAAATTTATTGAAATTTGTAGAGCTAGAATGGTAACATATATGTACTGATTAAAAAGTTGGACTATGATCAATGTAGAGAGTAAAGAGGATGACTTTGATGGAGAGAGGGAAGATCTCCTCCCAAGACAATGAGCAGATAAACATTGCAGAAGCCCAAACAAGGGGGGAGGGGTATGAAACCATCTCCGAGAGGCGCACCCCCCCCCCCAGATTCTCATGAAAATAGAAAAGAAAGGAGAAGAAACACATTCAGATTTGCAAGATTCAGTTACTATGGCCAATCTTAATGAAAGTAGTTTTAGGCACAAGTGGCGTCTGTTTCTTCATGTGGTCTACTGTACCTTGTACAGCTGACAATCAGGGAGAATTAGTTTCAACCCCATCCTTTGCCACTGAAGTTCATTAGATAACTTTTGGCCAATTGCCCTCTCTCAGCCCAGTCTATCTTACATGGTTGTTGTTGAAGGGAATATTGGAGAAATTTAGTGCTATATAAGCTGCCTTGACCTCATGGAAGAAAGGCAGGATACCAGTTTTATGAATAAATAAATAAAATACACTCCAAAAAGTGTCCCAGATGTGCACCATAGTCTTCAAAAGTAAATTCAAGGTAAAAGAACTGGCTTACACTTCTATATTAGCCTTAATAGTATTGACACCTTTGAACCTTGGTGTTGGAGAAGACTCCTGAGAATACCATGGACAGCCAAGAACATGAACAAATGGATCATCAAACAAATCAATCCAGAGTTTTCACTAAAGACACAAATGGCCAGGCTCAAATCATCCACTTCACACACATTATCCAAAGACTTAGATCTCTGGAGAAGCTCTAGTGCTGGGAAAGGTGGAAGGAAAGAAAAGAGGACGAGCAGCAGGAAGCTGGATGGATTCAGTTACAGCGGTAATGGGTGCACTGTTGGAAAACCAGAAGGACCAAGTTAGGGATAGATCATCAGGGAGAAAATCTATCTATGTGGTCACTAAGAGTCAATTCTGATGTGATAGAACATAGTCAATTAGCCTTAATATTGCATTGTTCATGATGTTAGCCAGTGACATTATATATTTTAAGAATAGTGTTAAGATCTGAAGAAAATATTATTGGCATGAGAAATTTTAAGCAGGAGAAAAAAAGAGCTTTATGACTATTATTTTACCTACTTTGTATCATTTTGTTCTGGGTCGACGTCATCATACTTAATGCTTTCCTGAGCCATAACATCTGCCATTAAAACCAAAGAGCATGATTATTAACCATCTACAATTTCCCAGAATTAAAAAAGAGAGAAGCATATAGAATCTTATAGCCTAGTAAACACAACATGAAAGGAAAAAGGAATGCAGTGACAGTAGGAAAAAAGCAGACTCAGCCACCAACCTCTAACGAGTTACTGTGCATCCCAGAAAATGAATAGCCTTTGAATTCATAAAAGGAGCAAAGCCACTTTTGAAAGCCCAAGTGACTTCCTTGTAGAAGGACTCTGGCACAATTTCCATTGGTCTTCTGAAGAACTTCCCACCCTGGAAGTAAACTCCTAAAGGAATAAAGGCTATGTAATAAGCTTTAAAATAACTAAGGAAGCCGTAACTTCTGAGAATTCAAGATCTAGCTTGTCTGAAGCAGCTCTACAGATTCAGTGTGTAAAAGGGTAAACAGTACAGGGACCAGTAATGGGAGACATGCCAAAAGTTGTCCTTGGCTGCGCTCGGCCATAAAGAATGATACGTTACAAATGAGAAGCAGTGTTTTAAACAGGCACTATGTTTTCTGTTGACAATTACAAAATAGAAAGAGGGGTGCCTTGTGATCTGGCTATCCCAAAGCATCTAAGACATGCCAGGACCAAAAATGTTATTTCAAAAGGGAGTCAGTTTATCAATTAGATGATTTAATCTAGATCAATATAAGCTTACCTAGGTTTGGTACAGAACGGGAAAGATTGCTGCAGAGGACAAATAAAACAAATGTGCATTTCAGCATGGTTTATAAATAACAGTATTTGGCTGCACATGTACAGTCAAGGTTTTTGAATAGGAATTCGCATACACGCCTCTTTCCATCACATTTTGGAGATGAAGTGACTGAACAAACCTCTGTTGAATAAAAAAGCTATGGGTAGAAAAAATCATGTAGAAAAAAAAAGAGAAAAGTTGGACCAATAGAAAAGTTTAAACTTCACCAGTATTTTTACCAGTTATAGACTCCTGAAAGTAGCACATTTACATATCTGAAATGCATTACACTCTTTTGGAGCCTAGAGAAGGGGCATGGTTTCAACTGAGCTTTGTGCATAAAAGTTAGGAAAATATTCAATCAGAGAGCACTTTCTCAGATATTAGGAAAAGGGGAATGGAACTAATACTAGCATAGTCACCTCTAACCTCAAATAAACCAGCAATATGTAACAGATGAAAAAAGAAATCCAGACCAAAAAATACGCATGCAGTAGAGGGCAGCTTAACACTCAAACAGCCAAATAAGAATTAGAGATTTCTTTCATGAATGATATTATAGTAACCTTCTCCTATTCATCCATTCTCCTTCAAACCCACTTCCCAGGCTGGGAAGTCTCTGAACTGGGACAGCAACATGATACACTCCATCAACTGCATCTTGTATTACGTTGGCTGCTGAGTGCTGCTCCCAAAGAATTACAAAATAATCACTGCTTATCTTTGAATAGGGAAAAATTCAACATTATCAACCTCCTCCTTTTCTCCCAAATGCTAGAAAAGGGAGCTGCCTGACACTTTTTCAGTTCAGATGGTATCTGAACATCTGGACAGCTATTTGGACTAGGGTCTCAGAAGTGACCTTAACATTTCCTGATCAAGTCCTCAATATTAACAGAAAACTGGGCATTAAGGATTTAGTACGGTTAACTAAACATAAGTCAAGAGAAGAAGAGCTAAGCAATGCAGTTCAGATTCCTTGCATATAAATATGACCACTTCCTTCTTCCAGCATCCCAAACTGCATGCAGACAAGCATAAAGCCAAAAGCTAAAGTTTACCACCAAGTGTCAAGCTTATTTGTGGCCAATATCAAGAATAAAAAATGCACTTAAGCAACCCTCAGGACCCAGATTTCCATTTTGAGAGGTGAAGGGTTTGTTCACATACCATCTACCATGTTCTCCTTCAGCTTAATGTTCAGTGCTCCTCATTCACTAACATTTCTGCCCTTTCCATTCAATCTAGTAGGATGGAAGGGAAACCCCTTGTTTAAAATTATCACCTTGCCATTCTCTAAATGTATCAAAAGCTTTTGCATTGCTATCCCATTTATATTTCAGTGACACACGTGCTATTACTGGAGTAGCAATTAAGAAGTTGTAACCTTCACAGTGCTGTGATTTGTACTGCAGTATCCCAGCATTTCAAAGTTTCATCAGCCACTGCAGTGACCAAAATGGAATGAAATCAAGGACAGCCACATTAAATTAATCAAGAGCTGCCTTTTATGAGTGATGATGATGATGATGATGAGTTCTTAGTGTTCTCTGAAACTGGTTGTTTTATTGTGGATGGTTCATTACTAGGCTTGGTAAGATCAACAGTGCATGGGAGACTCAAATTTGCTGGTTGTTTATATACAATAGCTTGCCCTGCCAGTCTTGCTTCAGTGTGGCTTCTTACTTGGTGGTTCCTTGATTAGAAACACCAAGAACCCAACAGCTCAGTCCTGAGCTCCATATATTCTCTACTATTGGAATAATAATAATACATTACATACCGAAAATTATCTTTCATGTGTGCGTTTATTTTGAATTTTCCTTTGAAAAATTTTCCAAATCCCTTGAGCTTTTCAATTTTGATATCTCTAGAACAAAAAATGAGAAATTAACAAATAAAGTGAAGATGCCATATGTACATTTATCCAATGTCTTTGTTTACGAACGTGAAGTTGGAAAAAGAAAATATGTGAATGTGTATGTACTTTGTGGCATCCGGCACCACCCCAACATGTAATTGCTGCTTCTCTAGAATTTCTTTACAAAACCTTAGAGGAACAGATAGTGTGTGAATCGAAATGTGGAAGCAGTGTTCAGAGGCAGACAATTTTAGGGCATCTCCTAAATTAATTCAGGCTAGGACAGAGTAAAGACCATTTTAATTTCAACAACTTCTTTGTGCCTCAGCATCTGGTTAACTTTAGAGTAGATACATGCTGAAAGAAAACCCTCACATGTAAAAGCAGAAGGCAGACTATTTGGAGTTCATTCTTCCTATGCACCGACAACCATGTTCCATGTCGACACCAAAACAAGTCAGAAGAAGCCTATATATTCTAGCATTATTACACTGAGGAACACCTACCTTTTATAATTCCTGGAATGAATAATTCCTTTTCTAGAAATTCTGGCAGGGCAAGATGGGAGAGAACATAAATTATTACTAAAAGCAACTGTTTCTCATTTGCTGTTAGGGCGGAAGTTAATTCTGAGCTAAGTTTAACCACTTTATTAGACAAAGATTCTTTTTTTGGCCATGCTGGCTGGGGATTAGCTATGGCAAGGGAGGTATCAATTCCAAATTATCCAAAGGGCACCAGTGTAGGGAAGGATAGCCCAGACTATTTCAGGTAATATGGTCTTCTACCTTAAGCTCCCAAAATTGGGTGAAAGGTTTTCTGTTGGCCCATGCTGGTTAGGTATTCTGTAAGCAGTTATTCCAATGCTTCTGATGGGTACCAGGTCAGGAAATTTGGGCCTAGTCTGTTCCATTGATATTCTAAAGTAGTGCATAAAATATGGCTACTAAGCTTCAGGAGAAACTTTCTGACTGTACAAACAGCCAGCTAGTGGAACAGGTTCCTGCATTAAGTGGTGAGTTCCCCTTACTGGAGGTCTTCAGATAGAGTCTGGACAGTCATCCATTGGAGATGATATAGTGCATCCTATACAAAGCAGAGAGTTGGATGGGATGACATCAAAGTTTCCTTCTAACTGTATGATTCTATAATATTTCCTACACTCCAAAAAGGAAATGTAGCAATACAGTAAACATACTTGAGCATTGCCAAGAAGACAGGACTAAATACAGCTCCTTTTTTAATGTGCCTGTAGCAAAAAGCACCAGTTTTCCCCTCAAGTGTATATAAAGAGGCCAAGGCACTCAGTCATATAAAGGACTAAAAGTTCAGACAACCAGTCAAAAATTACCTACTCACTCTGATTTAGCTGAATTATAACCTTCACTTTGAACTTCACTTTGAATATCCTCATATGTTTCTTCATAGGTATCATCTGAAATGTAAAGCAATAAAGACAATATTTGTGGCTAAGCAACCCATTGCCAACAATTTTTGAGTATTAGTAAGAAAAGAAGCCATCTGGGAATATAGCAAACACATAAAATTGTTCTATCATCAATTTATTGTACTTCATTAATAACCTAACCAAACTCTTTTTGGAATATCCAAGAGCTGGGCTTGAGTTAAACAAAACAGACTTCTAAACTTCAAGAGAAGAAAGTGGAATGAAAACAAGCACAGAGTGTGGAATGAAAACAAGCACATGTTTTCTGTTCAAAAATATGTCAGAAGAATATGCTTTAAGGTTCTACATCTTTGTGGCTTTTACTGTGTCCTGTAACTGTCTCAGATTGAGGCAATCCTGTAGCATACATTAGGATAGGACAGGGAAGGGAAATCACCTGAAAGGTCAACCCCAAAGAGTTATTAATCTAGCTAGCAGATTATTTCATATTCTTGTATATATTAATTTCTGGGCTTTATTATCAGTTGCACTCATATCCTGTCTTTCTTCCAAAGAACTCAGTATAGCCCAAATGTGATCTCATTTTTATCTTTGCAGTGCTCAAATGTTCTGACTTAGTGAGTCAACTAAGATCATTAAGTAAATTTCATGGCTGAGCAAGGAATTAGTTTGGATTTTTTAAAAAAGATGATTTACACATATACACACCCATTTTGTCATATGCCACCTAGAGCTTTTGGATTGGGGCCGGTTACTAATACTATAAAATCAACCAACCAATAAATAAGAGTCTTTAAATTAACTGAGTCGGAGATGAGTTCAAAACCATGACTGCTCCTGACAAGGAAAGTTCACATAAATCAACATTAAAAATTCAATGACCATAACTTAGCCACACCATGTGGAATGAGTACTATCATTGAAAGTCAGTGTGTCAATAAGGATGATTTTTTAATTTGACAGTACAACATCAACCTCCAGAGATTTTAACTGAGGATGCTTCAAATAAAATTGCCAGTAAAAAGCATGACCTGTTTAGCCACACGGTTTACCAAGCCATCTTGGGCCAGTTACTATCAATCAGCCTAACCTAACAAAATGAGGATGATTTGGAAGAGACCCATATATCTTTCCTTTGGAACAAGGGAGAAAGAAATGAATGATATACTAAGAAAAAATGGAGTGAGCAACTAATCATCCCTCCATGCACTGACAAGAGCAGAGTTAGTTTAAGGAGCAAAGTGGAGAGTTCAGACTTGGAGATGACAGAATATATTACTCAGGCTTTGAGGACTAACAACTTCACATAAACTCTACATATTTAGTAGAGCGAGAAAGCGGTGGGGGGGGGACCTTATTCCTAGAATATTTGCTGTGCTGTGAAAGATAACAGACAGACATGTAATCCCATTGAATGGATCACAGTCAAACAATGACTTCCCAGAAGGCCACTGGATAACAATTGCAAAACAAGAGCAACAAAAAATGTTTCATAAATATATTAAATAGAAATATTTAGCATATAAGTATTACAGTCGTTCTACTTTTATAAAACATATCAGACCGGTATGCACAAATCTGCAGTTTGAATATGTCACAAGTCAGAGAGAAACACCCAATGTGAGTTTATTATATAACCAGGATATCTGAAAAATAAGGTTTAAGTTACTAGTTAGAGGATGTTACTTGACTTCCTTTATTATTGTATTGGCATTATGAAATGTTTGTAAAGTAAAAATTAAAACTTAAAAATAAACCAAGAATAAGTGTAGCTTAAGCGTGAAATGTTGGGATCTCAGTGTCTACTGAACTTGCTTTTCTTCTTGCAAATGTTTTATTATTAATCTAGTAACACTGTCACCTAGAAGAAAACCAAGCTTACCAAATGCCAAGATTCCAATAAAAATTATAAAAATATAAAAGTAGAATAAAAAAGTATCCCAAACAAACAAACATTGGGGTAATACAGAGGTAACATTCAGAATGTCAGAAAAGCATGTGCTGCTAGATATGAAACTTTGAAATAAATGATTGCAGGTTTATGGCCAACTGGAGGGAGAGTGTACATAATCTAAAGCTCTAGAACCACACACAGTCCTCAAAACCTTGAGAATTAAACCCAAGCCCTTCCAAAATTTGCCACAAATGGTCATTTTTCATGTGACAGAAGGGGGCATTATTAAATATATGGGGTGTGGTCATATAAGCTGAATTTTAATGTACCTAAATTAAACTAAATATTGTTTTGGTCCTGGCACCATCTACTTTTGAAAGTGTGGCCACTGGCACGCTACTCAGAAGCCTTTTATAGTTCTTTCTAAAAGAGTCTCAACCAGGAAGAAAAAATAAAGCTTTGTTTTTTCTGTCTACAGACACTCCAATTTTGATGCTCTTTCCAATGGTTTGGGTAGTATAGAGAATTCACTAGGAATCTGGAAGATTTTTCAAGAGTTAGAACTACCTTTGCATAAATTCTTTTGATAGTTAGATAGCCAACCCCACTTTGTTCTATGAGAAGTGTTATTTTCATACTTACTGGAATCTAAAGAAAATGATCTGTAGGCATCAGAGGATTGCCTGCAATAGAACATTTTCAAAAGAGTAGTGTCAAAGGTGCATTTCAGATTTTAAGAATCACAATTTTTCAAAAGCTTAAATCTACATGTACTTTCTAAATGCCTATGAAGCACTCACAGGTCTCTCCCTATTCCTTCCACATCATCATACACTCCCTCTGCAGCTTGCTCCAATTTAGCAGTTCTTAGATCTGGGCTCCATTTCCCTTCATCTGTTTTCAGGGACTCCAGGCATACATAGTCATCTGAAACTGAAGCAGAATTCTTGTTTCAAGCTCTCCTGAACATATATAAAAGAGTAAAGTGCCTAAATGCTGAAATTGCAACGTGGAATTCTGAAAATCCAAGGGAAAGTTATGAAGAGTGCATCTGTTTTTTCTATGCATGCATCCCAAAATATGCCATCAAGGGAAAAGCAGCCAACATTTTTAGCCATGAGTGTGCATCTATATTGCCAGTGGGCTGAAGCAATCCTTCAGAGTGGCACTTACAGTCACAGAACTCAATTCCTATAAAGCATGCTGGCTGGGGAATTCTGGGAATTGAAGTCCACACATCTTAAAGTTGCCAGAGTTGAGAAACACTGCTATAAAGTAATGAAGCTGATGAATCTGGTACCTTTTCTTCTTTCTCATGGTCCAAAGACAAAAGCATATTCCAAGAACATAGGAGATAAATTATCTTTAACTTATCTGGAGGGGGCAGATTTAATTTATCTCCAATGTTCTTGGAATATGCTTTTGTCTTTGGACCATGAGAAAGAAGGAAAGCTTGAAACAAGCATACTTGAGAACCTCCATTTGATCCTTGAGCATCTTAAGCATTTCCCCAAAGTCCATTACCTCACTCCATTTTTTAATCTTTCATACAATCATGCTGTGGGAGACTAATAGTTTTTGTAGGGGTTACATAAGCATTTAATAGCAGAATTAGGCTTTACCATCATAGTACTTTACACTTGGAGCAGAGATAACAGCATGTAGCCAGCCTAGTGCTCACAAACACAAGGAGGCTGCTTCCTTGAAAGCGGGGGTGGGGGGGGGCATGTGGACCAAGTCCAACTCTTGCATCCTTGCATGTGGCATCCCAGTGACTGGTTTTTGGCATTCTAAGAGATCTGAACTAGGAGCTTTTCGATTTGTAACCTGCACTCTTCACCATTATTGTACACCAGCTCTTGCAATTGTATCTCATCTTTCAACCCAGATATACAAACATCAGGTCTTCCGTCCTTTCCAGGAAGACAAGAGATATAAAGGATGTCTTGTCAAGAGATGTTAAGGGTGCAGAGGTATAAGGGAGTAAGTCTCACTTAACTCAGAGTAAAGCAGCAACAGCAACAAGAAATTACTCACAATTTTCATCCTTTGTCAATCCTCCTCCAGAGAAAGACTGATCTGTTTCCTCCTGAAGCACGTTCTTCTCACTCCCACTGATTCTGGGTTTAATGAATATACCTCTGGGGCTGCAAACCTGTTAGCACGCATTATGCCGCCTGGGTTAGAGCCCTTTCAAAACATCCCTTGCCAAATTCATGATATAACACAAAGCACCTCAACATTCTTCTACCATGGAATTCAAAGCAGTTTAAATAAAGTACTAAATAATTTCTGATCAGGCATTGTCCAGGGCCAGATCTGTTTAATGTGTCTCCATCTTGCACCTTCTACTCATGTTACAGCATAGACATGTTTCCTCATAAGAAAACATTCTCCAAGCTGAATTCCTAAGAGTCAATTCCACTGAGCTGATAGAACCTTTAAGTAAAGGGGAAGTGCATGTCCTATTTCTTTCCCAAGCCAAAAAATAGGAGAAGGCAATACTACACTAGATGAGTGGAAAATTCCAATGGGGAAAGAAGAAAATAGAGCTATTTCACATATTCAATGTTAGCTATTCAGTTTTCCCAGTTAAAAGATATCCTGTAACATCAGTGAGTAAAGCAGGTAGCAGCCTTTGAGGTTTTCAAGAGAGACACACCACCCTATACAAGAGAGTTTTGTGCATATATAATCCAATCAGTACACACACACATATAAGGCAATAGTCCCTGAATATTACTGTCTTAATATTCCTTCAACCTATTTGTAGCAATAAGGTTGCTTCTGTGCAAAACAAAGAAGAAAACTTTAGTTTTCACAGATTGGTCACAAAACAATAGTTTTGTTGATCTGAAGGAACATTATTTAAAGGAATATCTTGGTCTGCATCTGTGTTCTATGTCCTTCTAATGAAATGTGGCAAGAATTCAAAAGACACTACTCAAAGTTTCCAAAGCATGCAAAGAAATATACATAAGCAAATTTTCCTTCCTGACTTTAATCTGTGGCACCAAATGGGTTGTCATTTCAAACACTGGCCAATCTCCCAGAGCAACCTTTGAGGCACAAGGAAAAGTAGGCTGGCAAAGGAAAAGTTATGAGAAAAATAGCCTGCATGCAAGATAACTCATTTGGATACAGCCAACGTTTTCATTTAACCTATATGGAGGGATATATAATGCCAGATTATTTCTCAAGGCTCTTGTTTTGTTCTCAAAAACACTCCTTTAATGCTTGTAGACATTCCAGTGCTTCAGCTCATTCTATTCTCATATGGAACATTTGGGAAGAAAAGTAATTAGTTTACTAGAAAAATTGCTTGAGAATTTTCCTGTATGTTCAACAAACTTTCAGTTCTATTGATAGACTAAATCTGACGTGTTTATGTTACTATTATATAATTTTGGTTATATACTTGTAACATGCAACACAATGGATGAATGGAGCCAATAGCACGAAATTATCACCACAGTGGCTTGACTTTAGGACTAATTTCATCTGATTTCAATGAAATTGCTATGTAGAGAAAAGAGCCAGTAATTTGCTATAATTTGTAAAATACTGCATGTGTATTATTCTAAATGTAATAACAGAAAGAATTTTGTCCTGAAGTAACAAGATAACCAGTTCCAAAACAATAAAGGCTGAAATTCGATGCATTACTACTTTAATATTAATCTTCTGTTGTCTAGGTGCTAGCTATAGACAAGTGTTTCTCAACCTTGCCACATTTCAGATGGGTGGACTTCAACTCCTAGAATTCTCCAGCCAGCATAGCTGGCTGGAGAATTCTGGGAATTGAAGTCCACCCAACTGAAAGTTGCCAAGGTTGAGAAACACTGCTACAGACAGACAATAATCCATAAGATAAAGGATGTATATCTTGAAATAGAGGGATGTCCTCTGTAAAGAAGGATATTTGCAATAGCAAGCCAAGTTTTGGTGTGCTGACCCATCGTAATACTTTTCTTCTTTCACTCCAATTATCTCATCAAACTACAGACTGAGAGCACATACCTTGGTATCTTCCTTTTTCATAGGCTTGGATGCTAGAATCAAGGTTTTGTAGAAATTAGTATATTCCACTGTGCAGTTTCATTTAACTAGCTTTATAAAATTGCTAATAACTATTACACTGCTGTATTAACTTACCTTTTCCATCCAGGCTCTTTTACATTATCAGTTCAGGATCACATGTCAAACAAAGTGAACCTAAATTATGTTTTTTTAAAGACTAAAACTGCAAGATTCCATGAATTACTAATACAATTAGAAGTCATCTTCATTCCACCCACATCTAAATCTTAAAAATGGAAAACTTGTGTAACAAAAAATATTTAAAAGATCATCTCCTTTCAGAGTCATATAGATAAGAGATTAAAACTGTTTAAATAGTACAAAAAGGAAAAAGAAAAAAAAACAGCAGGAGAACAGCTAGATAAATGGGGTTGAAGCATATAACCAGGAAACGATATAAAAGCCAAAATGACAGTTACAGCAAAGAAAGTGAAAAAAAAATCATACCCAACAAACCACTGTTCAAAAGCCTGTCAACTAATTTCTCACATCTGCTACTTAACTTCTCAAAGTATTAATACTTGCTGCAGTTTTTTTTTTTTTTTTTTTTTCTGCGCTC